TTGCCAAATCTTGTTGGTACTTTAATTAACTGTTGAAGCCCTAAGTTTATAGACATTACTTTCAGGCCTTTGGAAGCTTTTTCAGCCCAATACAAATTGATATCACCAAGAATCACAAACTCTTTTGATTTTATGCCTTTTATAATGTCAGTGAGCTGCGCTAAATATTTAGTTGAATTTAGAGCCTAAAGCTATTTATCAAAGTTTTTTTAGTAGTTTTAAGGCTATGAACAAATTATTAACATATTGTTTGCCATTATATCTTAAAATCATTGCCCAAGCTAGAGTTAAGTTGTAAATAATTATAATACTGGTTAAAGATTTAAGTAAAAGGTTGTTGTAGATTATTATACTGTTGTTTTATAGTATTATTATATTATACATGGTTCCCGTGGATCATTAAAAGGCCTTGAATTCATCACTTCAAAAATGAGACCTTAATTAACCTTAAAAGGTTTTAAATCAATCTTCAGAAGTCTTAAAAATGTTAACACATTGTAAGTAGAATGAGTGTAATTTGTATTGAATATTAAAATAATTGGCAACATTTATTTATTTTTGAAATATTCCCATTCAGATGTTCCCTTTTGACACCACTTCACATGCAAATATCTTATTCATCTGAGCGATGTGAAATTCGTTTTCTAATGTTAATAATGTTGTCTTTCCAAAATACATTCATATTTCTGACAAAAAATTGATGTCAYATGCACTTGAAGGTTTCATCTACACATAAGCTGGGGTTAAGAACCCACTGTTGGTCATAAAACTGCAAATTTTGGGTCATTAGAGGGTTTCCAGAAATTAAATTAAGTTTAAAACTGACTAGTTAAGAATGTTTTTTTTTCCCTATATTTGACAAAATGGCTGTTCGATTTGGATAAAAACTATTGGTCTATTAGCAATATTTGAATAATTCTACCAAAAATACTTTGATTCATGAATTTTTGCTACAGTTTTACTTTATTTATTTTTGTCAACTGTTTAATTTAACTTGTTAAATTTAACTTGCCCTGTTATAAAATATTATAAGGATTTACTGAGATTATTCTGTTTCTCTTGAATAGTCGCTCAGACAGTCCTCGTCGACGCAGGCGAAGCCGCAGCCGCTCCAGGAGCAGGAGCCGATCCCGATCCAGGAGCCGCTACAGCCGCTCCAGGTCCCGCTCCTACTCCAGGTCCCGGTCCAGGTCGAAGTCAAAGTCCAAATCCAGGAGTCCCAGGCGAAACAAGTCCAAGACTCCTCCTTCCAGGTCGAGGTCCCGCTCTAGGTCCAGGTCCAAGTCGAGGAGCAYGACCCCGACGTCCAACAGAGGGTCKAAGTCTAGATCCAGGTCCAAATCCAAGAGTGGGCCTAAATCACCAGGAGAGAACAACGCAGAGCCTTGATGTGGACCTGGACARGTGATGACGGTATTCAGGGGGAGGGGGAGGTTTTTACTACTAGTTTTGTCTGAGATGAGTTAGTCAACAATTGGCTTCCGTCTTCTGCAGCCTTTCTGCTCTCAGGCTGCAAAGTCTGCAGAACGCTGTTRGAAATTTACACACAAGTGTTTCTAAGTTAAAGCTTTGTGTGCGCTTTACTTTACACGTCTCCTTGGACAATTTAAAGCACACACAGGCAACACATTTGGATTGACAGTGCCATAGATTATAAACTGGGGTATTTAATCTCATTTGTACATAAATATATGTGTGTGTGGGAGGGAAAGTGGGATGCTCACTCAAAACCGTTCACTTAAATGTGGAATTCTTTCCTCCAAGCTGCTGAGTCCTGTTTGCAAAGAGAGGAGGAGGAGGAGATGGGGGTGTTGCAGTGTGAGAGCAGTTAGTGTGTGACCCGCCGGTGTGACCCGCCTGTTGCTGAGAGATGGCAGTTGCTAAAGGAGCGGGTCACCGAGGCAGCGTTGTTTGCCATGGAGCAGGCCGTCATGGCGGCGGTTCGGGCTGTCAGTTGGTGTGTAAAGGTGGTGTGGTGAGGTACGTTCACGGGGACCACACAGGCAGATGGCAGTTTTCTCTCTCTCCCCGGCCCGTGTCTGTGGCTTCCTCCGCCTCTCTCAGCGGGAGCCCACCCCGAGGTTTGTTTTTTAAAATATGCCCCGAGTATAAGACCCCTTCTTAGAGCTAGCATGTGGGGGAGAACTGGGCCAAGAAAGCAGCAAAAATGTGAAGATAAGTTATATTTGTACCAAGAGTTTTGTAAAAATGTTACCACCAGGGCAGAGTTTACTGTGTTCAGGTCAGCTGCAGGAATTGATACAAACGTCAGTTTTTGCACTCGTTAACTTGAGTTTCATCTTTCCATCCAGATCTCAGATGCTTTGAGCCTTTGCTGAAGACATCAGGAACAGCCTCGCGTTGAGCAAGAGGACTCCACATTTACCACTGAACGCAGACTGAAAGGTTATTGGATCTTGGTCTGAAATTATTTTAATGTTTAATTTGTCAAATCTGCCTGTAATGTTTGGCGTTTGTAAAACTGACTTTATAGTAAGGGATTTGTTTGAAAAATGTTCACAAATTTTTTTTTACTTACAGTGAGATCCCCCCGCTTAAATTTTTTTAAAATGAAATTTTTATTTGCAAAAGTTGATAAAGAAAAATCTCGCGTTCATTGTTCGCAGTGTTTGCTGTTAATGCTTGTCTGAAGAAATGGCTTAAAGTGACACAAGTCACCCAATTTACTTAATCGAGCCCGTTTTTCTCTTCTGTCGAGTCTTTTTTTTATTTTCTGTCTCGTTCAAGTTGCTTTCCTATGACTCTAACCCCTTTTCTTGTGTATCTTTTGTGCACTAGGCGCAGTTGTGTAGCAGTTGAGTAATGCTGGTTAGCTGTTAAGATGCGGTGCAGTGCGGTGGTGACACGGTGGTGTGGCGTGTTGCGGTGCTGAGTGCCCGGTGCTGTTCCGGGGCTCAACCCTTCGCTGCCGTTTGCCGGTTTGTAAGCTCACAGATGTGGCAGATCATCCATCCTCTCTCTCTTCCTACATGTGCTGTACATATTGTCCTTTGTTGCTCCTTTTTTTCCTCCCTTCTTTCTCCTGTGGCCCACTCTAACCTCCCCCTCTGTGGGTTATCTGCTGTTGAACTAGTCTTGCTTGCTTTGGAAAAAATGGTCCAGTGTGATCCCTGGTGAAACGTTTAAGATGCAGTTATGTCTGCTTATGGGATAATTTTTTTTTTTTTTTTTTTTTATTACATTTTTTTGTGAACCTCAGATTTCTTGTAATTGCTTTACATGACTGCTAATAAACGTCTTTGACAATAAAAAGCTAATTGCAGTTATGTCTTCTTTTCTTTACAGTGCTCTGTTGTAGTATTTTAGACTTTGATTATCCAAGTATTAATACATGAATGTGAAATATGTGCTGCATGCCAGAGARGTACCGATCTTTCCTTATCAAAGTGGGAAAAGTACAAGTTGGGCAAAACTGTCATTTTGCAATTGGTGCCATGTCATGACAGTTTTGTGTGGGACATTTAAAATTACGATGTTAGATTCGTAAGGAATTGTAGAAAAGGTAATTGATTTAGAGAAAAAAAATTGCAGTGCATCTATTAATCTTATTGACTAAATGCCACAATGCAGTGAGAAATTTTGCCATAATTACCCAACACTATACAAATATGTAAAATTTGTATAAATGGGTATTCACTGTTTTTAAAAATCTAGATTTTAAATTTCAAATATATTTAAGGGTCTGAGAATAGCCTTTTTACAGAGGAAACCATTCCTCCAGTCTTAGCTTGAAGCTACTGATGAGGGTTTTATTTTTTTATAGATACCATGCCATTTTCTATCAACACCATTGCTGCTATTTCTTTGTTCAAAGGTGAATGTTTCTTGTTTCATTTTATGACCAACTATACTTTTTAATGAACAATCTCAATATTTTTAAAAGAGCAATTTTTGGGGGGTGTTTTTTGGAAGTGGACGTGTTTCTTTTTAAAAGGCCAAGTACTTTGCAGTCTGATTTGACTTCTATTTCTGTTTATCTAGGCTCCAATTCACAAAAACTATAGGGCCACCATGCAAAAATTAAATTTGCTTCATTTTCAAAGCTTATTAAAGTCAGTTTAATTATGCACAGTTTGGACTGCATTCAGTTTAGGTTTTATTTAATAACTGTTTTTAGGTTCGTGAGATGTGTTTTAGACAAGACATTTTAGAAACTGGTAGATTATTTCTTTGTTTTAATGATTATTGGCAAATTCTGGAAACCCTGTTAATTTGTCTTTTAATTGATGCCACATTTGTAAGGAACATGCATTTGTGAAATGAACACTGGTGGGTGGTGTACATGAAAATATTTTCAAATATTCATTGCCAAACAGCTTATTTTGCTGTTATGACACTTCTTTTGAGCTTCGTGTGCTGCCAATCATGGTTTAAGATTAATTGCCAAATAGCATTGTTAATCTACCAAACACAAGTTTCCTTCCTTTTTTGAGTTGAGTATACACAAATGACCACCTTTTTGCTCAGCATGCAGCACAAATAATTTTTTAGATTTCCATCCATCCATCCATTTTCTTCCACCTATCCAGGGTCGGGTCGCGGGGGCAGCAGCTTCAGAAGGGAGGCCCAGACC